ATTCACTATTGTAATATATACATATGAGACTTGAATACACTTGAATAAGAAGAAAATTCCACTTCTTCTATCTACATCTCTTGTCTTCTTCTCTTTATGATTATATCTCTTATGAGCTTGATTTTGTAACAAAATTTATATTGAGTAATATTTAGACAAGAAGAAAATATTTTTTAAAAAACTTTTTACATATTTAAGATTTAAATTCGAAATTAATTTTTTCTTCTTTTTTTTTCAAATAAGTAAAATATATATTTTTTTAAACTTTCTCTGAGTCCTCTCTATACCTAACCAAATATAATGCACCTAATATAGTGTGTCTCGCTAGGGGCACGTAGACGTCAAACATGTAGTCTACTCTTTATTTGGTGTAACATATTATAGTCATTTATTTAATGAAAAAAGATTAAAAATTGTTTCGAACTATGTGAAATATAAATCACTTATTGCTTTTCTTATATTTTAAAATAATAAATATAACTCGTTGTTATTTTAAGAGATAAAAAAAAATATTGATACATTCCATTTACCATTAGTTTAAAGTCATAAGTTTTGAAAATCTATTTTTTACTTTTTAAAATGTTACATACAAAGTGAAAATTAGACAAATAAATTAAAACGAAATAGATAAAAAACCTCTCAAAAATATAAGTTGTTAGAATATTTTAATTAGTTCTAAGAGATCACTGCAACATTTGAAAATTCAACAAGTAAGATTTCTCTTGATTTTATTTTTTGTCACAATTATATAAATAGTATAATATATAGAGAGAAACGCGTGAAAAGATTATAGGATAAGTTATAGATGTTGTAGGCATTATTCCTAACGAAATTTAGTACGTTATACGTGGTACGAAGCACGACAAAATTAAAACATAATTTTCGTTTCAATTAATATGACATATTTTTAAAAAATATATATAATTCTTATGTATATCAAATCAAGCAATATCATATAAATTAAGACGAAAAAAATACCTCATTAATCATAAATTTATGTTTATAGCTTTAGCTTTTAATTGAAATTAAAACGACTTTATTTTTTTCATCGTCACCTAACAATAATTTGAATAATTTTAATTTGACTATGTGAGAGTGTCATTGTCAAACTACAATCCGTACATGCTATATGTATACTTTAGATCTTAAAAAGTCTTTGGTTTCTCACGTCTACAGATATCATGCTTTAAATTAAATGGAATCTCTATATAATATATTTTAGATTTTTCAACTATTTAAGTTTCCTTTGGTCCATCCTAAATTCATTCTCACCGACAGTTAATTTTTTGATTAAATTAAATTACTTTTCATTGTTAGTATAAATAAAATCTCGATATACTATTGATTGTGGTGAATTAATAAATAATTTTTTATTCTTAATAAAAAGTTTTGAATTTGTATCTTGTTAGATACATAGTGGTCTTTGTTTAAATTTATAGCATTTTAATGTGGATATCGATCGCTTTCTTATACGAAAATAAGCATTATTTTAGCAAAAATCATGTTATTAAAAAATCATATATAGTTGAATAAACTATTCTTATTTTTATTAAAAAATCATATATAGTTGAATAAACTATTCTTATTTAATAAATATCTTTAAAAATTAGACACTAGTAAATAAAATTGAGTATAAGGGAATATATAGATGTACAGTTAAAATAACGTACTAATTTTTGTCTTGAATTATTAATGTGAAATTTTTAAAGATTTTTATTTGTTTATCACACTAAAATAATATACATTTTGCGACTAAGGAAGTATAGATCTTTCACTTAGGAAAGTAAGTACACATATAGTATAATTAAAGGTAGTACAACAACTGTATATTATTCATGTTAAATTTGATATGAGCAGTTGATACGAGTAAATTTTTATGGTATATAAATCCATAGTACCCTCCCTCAAAATGTATATTTATATAGATTAGACAGTTAGATATAATATTTTGCTAAAAGATATATCATATTACTATATATAAAAGGTTTTTTCTTTTTGTATATATATAATAGATGATGAACTCTTTTAATGATAATCTTCTACTCGTTATGATTTGATATGGTAAAATTTTAAAAAATTTCGAATCAAACGTTATTATCTATTAGTTATGTGAAAAATTGTAATGGTCCTAAGAGAATAAAAATGTGTCGAAAACATGAAAGTTTGGAGTAGATAGGATTCCAAATCAAATGAAGATTTACTTGTTTACATTATTTTTTAGAAATAATATGAGCATTTTTTTTTAAACCTTATTAGGGATGCATTTTAATTATTATAAGTAGTAAAGAATATGGTGTTCTATTATAAAACATAAAATAAAAACAATACTTATGTCATTAGGTTTGTGATACCAAAGTCTATTGGAAGACAAAAAGGTATAAACAATTATAGGAAAAAGTCAATCAGACACTTAAATTTAGCTGGCAGTCGGCTAATACTATATAGTTTAATAATTATAAAAATATTTTGGATACTTAAATTTTTAAAAAATAATAAAAATAAAGAAGGTTCTGAAATCAAAACACATGCCAGCTTTAAAGTATCTTCTCTTTACTTGTAGTATTTGTTAATTCACTACTAATTTGCTGTAAAAATATCTAAAGACTAAGTCTTCATTTGGATTTGGTATGATATAGTGTAAATATTATTTAGATTATTCATTGGTAAGTAGTACCCTAAAGCTAGACCAACAATAAGTAATTTTCCGTACTTATTAACTACTATGGTACATATAAGCAACAATAATCATATCCAGCGTAATTTCATATGTAAAATATTGAAAAAACAGAATATACGTAAATCTTATTTCTATCTATATGAAATAAAAAGATCAGCTTTAATAAACTACTAAATTTAAAGAAAGTGTAATCAAAACAGGATTAACAATAAAATAAACAGCAAGACTATAGCAATGTAATATGTAGTAGTAAAAATTGAGGAAGAGATATTATGAGAGGTGAGACTAACCCTATCTCTCACACAAAAAATACTACTCAATATTCGGTTATTTACTATTTTACTATCCTTATAATCATCAACCTTTATATATAAGATTATGTTCTCAATAAATGAAAATAAGACATGAAGTTAAGTTTTTCTTTAGTTTACCTCTATCTCCTTTAAAATCTACTACTAGAAGCTTCTCTCAATAATCAATATATATATAACTTAAATTTATTTATTTATTAATTATTATTATTATTATTACTTTCTCCGTTCATAATTGTTTGTCATGCTAAGGTAATGTATACCCCTCAAAGAAAATTTAATATAAGGTGTAATTTAATTAATATAACCGTATTAAATAAAAAAATATCAAAAGTTTACATAACTTTTTAAATGAACTAAACTATCATTAGGTGCAATTTTGGAAATAGATGACTAATTGTTTCTTCATAATTCAAATTGACAATTAATTTTGAACATTTATTTTTAATATATCTGTCAAATAATTGTGGACGGAGGAAATAATAAGTTAATGGTACGCGTATATAATGACATTGAAAAGAGAGAGGATTAAAAATTGGTCAAATTACATGAATGTATAAAATATTGAATGAAACTAATTTCATTACAATATGTATTCACACCTTAAATCAAAAACCTTTTTTCAGAAACTTCTGTGAGAAATTATTATGAATTACACTTATTTTGGGCTCAATCACACTAGGTTTCTTGGAAGATACTTTAATGTGATTTATTATGCTAATTATAAATTAAAGTACTTATCAAAATTCCATTAATTAACATACCTTAATATCGAAGTAATCATATTCAAAATGGGAACACAATTGCGGGAAAGCAAAGTATACAATTAATAAACCTAAACTTAAAATATACCTTTTTCATTTATATTTCTCTCTTTGGTATTCGAGAAGTCATCTCAAGTGTTAAAGGAGAAACTTCAAAAACCCTCTATCGCTATTTATTTCGTGATTCAAATCACGTAAATTTTGATATATTTTTATCGTACATAGTTATCACGTGATATAATTTTACCTTAGCTTGTTCTTGTGAAAGAACTTATCGTACATTCATATACTTTTATAATTTTAAAATATTAAATTAATTTAATTCAATATAATTTCAAAGATTAATTAAATCGCTCTCAATTTAATAAGCAAAAATATTACATAACAGCATACTCAAATATAATTACAAATAGTAAGGTACGTAAGCTTATAGTATATGTAGAACTTGTTACTATCTTAAAAGTAGAGAAATCGTTACCAATAATTTTCAAACTGAAGAAAAAATAATCTAAAATAGCAAGAACAAAAAAAAACATGAGATAAAAGAGTCATGAACTAAATACCGTAAAGAACCAAATCATATCAAGGTACAATAATAATCAAAGCTAATAAACGCACTTCAAATAACAAGTAAATACAAAAAAAAATACAACTAATAGCACGATTAAATAGTAAAGAAAGAATAAACAAAACTAATATTTGTTAATTAAAATTGAGAAAAAAAAATATCATCTAAGAAGCCAAAAAAATTTAACTCCTCCTGTACAATATACAACTCAAAAATACATACTATCATTCAGAAAAAAAAAAACAGAAATATATTGTAAATTTTATTTTTTAAAAAAGAGAAAAATGAATTATTTTTTTAATCCTCTACATTAATTTTGAATTATTGGATCTTAAAAACTTTCATCCTCTGTTTTTTTTTCTTTCAAAATCCAATTTCTTCTTCATCGTCATCTTCTTCACCGAATTCTTTACAGTGATCTCGATTTAATTTCATTTTTTCCACCATTGTTTGTTGAATTGTTCATTCAGAACTTAAAATTTTTTCGAATCTCCATCTTCAAGAATCGAACGAAAATGGAGGTTTTAACAGATCATAAGGAGCCCAAAGAGCATCTAACGGACATGGCCGATTAGCATCAAGCCGAGCCCAAGGTTTTCCTTTTCCACTCCAATGCAGTAAACTTACCGGACCCGGATGTAAATCTCTACAGAGTCCTCGAAAATTGTCTCCACCAAGTCCATGTTGATTCCATTTATGATCTACCGGAGCTATATTTCCGGCGAACACAAGTAAAAACGGCGGTAACGAACCCAATTCGTAAATTCTCATACGTTTTTGTAATTCCATCCATTCTTCAATCTTCCTTGTATAATCACCATTTCTCCATCGATCGAGATCGATTACCATTACCCCTGTATTAAAATAACAAGCTTTCCGATCCGCAAATGTAAGAGATAGAGATGGGTTGGACCAGAAAGTCGGAGTAAAATACGAAGTGAAATTCGCATTACAGTATTCAGGAGCAGCAAGTATATGATCTTCCCCGAGTGGAGTTTCTGATAGCTTCGCAATATCGTCAACTAAAACCAAATCGGAATCCAAATACACAACTTTCCGAACACATAAAGGTAAAATATTAGCTAAATAACTTCTCGCATAGTTCAAAGGGCAATCGAGAGCTGAACGAATAGAAGTTGAAATTAAACCGGAAACAGAGGAATCGTCGAATCGATAAACTTCGAATTTCAAATAAGGAAATGAAGCTAAAATGGTGGCGCGTAGATGTGACGCGTCTGCGGATGCGGAAGCAACGAAGTGAAAAATTATGTTTTGTGGGCAAGAAGAATGTTGAAGAATTGAGAGAATAGCCGCCATTGATCCACGGATATAAGCGGAATCGAGTGTCATTGCTGCATGAACAGCTTCATCGGAGCAAATTAATTCATGGGTATTTTCAATTGAAGGACATTCAGCTGAGTTGTAGAATTCAGGCGCTTCTCTGAACTGTTGCGGTGGCGCAGCGGCGGCCGCGGTGGTGGTGATGAAAAAGAAAATAAATAACAAGGGTAGCTGTCTTTGTGGCTTCATGTGGGGGAGTGATGTTTTAAGAGTTGGGAGAATGAGAAGAGAGGCATATTTATTTCATTGGGTTTTAGGTGGGGTGGGTGGGTTAGGGGGTAGGGGTAGGGGGAATAATTTGAATTTGAAGTAATTTTTTCGTCCAAAACTGTATATTATGTTGGGTTTTTTAAAAGTTAATTTGACTAATTTTTAAAGTAAAATTAGATAACATTAATTCGATATATTGAACAAAAAATTTATATTTTAAAACTATATGAAAATTATTATAAATTGTGATCTTTTACATATTAATATGATGAAAAATTATATCTTAAAATGTTAGTCAAAATTTTTATACTCCATCTGTCCAAAAATGTTTATCATGTTGCGTTTATCGAAAATCAATTTGATTAATTTTTAAAGCTAAATGGATCACATTAATTTAATATTTTAAACAAAAAAATTAAATATTTTAAAACTATATGAAAAGTACTATAAATTACAATTTTTTGCATATTAATATGATAGAAAAATACGTTTTAAAATATTAGTCAAAATTTTTATAATTTAACTCTATAAATAGAAATCATGACAAATAATACCAAATAAAAAAATAATTTAATTCTAAAAATAGAAATTATGAAAAATAATTCTAGATGGAGAAAATATAAGATATGATTTTTTGGGAATTGAAAAAAAAAGTATATTACATATTACCAGTCCACATTATTTACCAAAGAACGAGGAATTTTCCTCGTTACATATTAGTTGGTTACGTTATTTATTAAAATAATGAACATTCTTTTAATTTTGTATTACATGTTTATCTTATTTATTTTTAAAAAAAGAACAAGGACGCTACTCGTCATATATTATATATTTATATTATTAATTTTTTTGTTTGTTAATATATAAAATTGAAGTATAATTAATTAAAATTTCACTAATTAATTTTTTTAAAACTACAAATATTGTAAGAAAAAGTTATAAAAATTCACAACGAAATATATAAGATAATTTATATATTTTTAAACTACAAATATTGTAAGAAATTTTGTAGTGAGTACGTAAGTGCAAAAATACAAATGCGGTTACTAACTTATATATTTGTTGACATTAAATGTAATTTAGGTATTAATATATGTTTTGTCTGTTTTTATTTAAATAATGGTGTTTAACTAATTATAGAACCTAAAAAGAAAAAAATTAAGTGTCTTAAAGGTATATGTACTCATTTTTAGGTCATGTAGGGGTAAAATCAAAGGCTCTCTACGCTTTACTTTTTGGGTATTAAGAGGAGAAATGATCGGTTTTGTTCACTATTTCTAATTATTTCATTTTTTTGAGAGACTTTAATTTTCTTGGTTATTTTTTATTCAGATAGGTTGATTACCTTCTAGCTAATGACAAGTAGCTAGGTGTGTACCACCTCGATTTATGGGGTTATATAATATGACTTAAAGAATTCACCTTTAGTATCTGAATCGATTCTTCATCAATATCAAAGTTAAGTTAACTTAATTACTGAGCTACTAAAATTCTCCGTGTATTTATTAATTTTTATGTAGATATTGAATATAAACCTTTTTTTTTCTTTTTTCACAATAAAGTTAAACTTTTTCATAATAAGAAAAAAGTCAAGGGGAGTTGGTTGATTTCATACTAGAACAAGACATAAGAATTCCCCATTCTTCATTAGAGCTTTAAATAAATCATTAGAGGACAAATAGGGTTAAGGGGACCAAAATGTAAAATGAATTTAATGAACTCATTAATTAGTACTATTTATGTAGATTATGTTTGTTCATCTATTCATTAAATACTCTCAATAATCAAGTTGTCACACATTATGGACTCTGTTAATTTGTACGTAAAAGATATATGCTATCTACTAGTCAAGATAAGATCGTTTTACATTTGCAATCAATCCTATGTTTCTTTCTCCTTGTTAGGGGAATTTTTCATTTTGTTTTTTTACGTGGTTCGTTATCCATATTGAAGCTTAACAATATTCAAATTCATGCTGAAAAGTCCTATATTAAGGGTAAAGCGCTCCCTAACAAAGAAACTTTCTATCTAAGAGAACTCAAACTCAAAACGGTTAGCTAATGATGAAGAAGTATTTGACACTTCATCTCAACCCTTATTGATACTTATTAACCGTGGTGAAACCAAATACTTCATGAAAGATATTCAGAAATTGCACAATTGAACACCGTGACAACAAGGTAGCTCTGTCCCTCGCTTATTGGAGGATTAAGGGAAGCAAAGACGTAAAGAAATTAATATAAATATATCTCTATATCATTCTCACCCTCACTTTTATATCAACAAAAAATTACGCATGATTTATGTAAAATAATATTTAAACCCGCACGTAAATTTTGTATCTATATAAGTAAAAATACTAGTATTGAATATAAAGAAACTGATATTATGCCTTTAAGCTCTCGTAAAGAGAGAATTGTTTAAAATTATATCAGGAACGATCTTATTATGTATAAAATAATTAATTTTACGTTAGCTATCGAGTTTAGAACTTGTAACACGAATACTAGTTCACACCAGCAAAGTTGAATGTGCATTGTAGATTTTAAAACAAACAAATAAAAAGAATTTTCGACTAATTTATTATTCAATTCAAAATTTAAATCAAGCATACATACAAATTACTATGATTCGAATAGTAATGCTATTAAACAAAACTTTGAATTATTAGGACGATTCATTCGATTAATTTCAAGACAACAAATACAACTAATAGTATGTTTTTATTTATGATAGCATTCTTACCATTAAAAAGTAAATAATAATTATTATAGAATTTCAATAAAACATCATAGATTATTGAAGAGTAAAGATTGTACCAAAATATATATATTTGTATGTTGACATGACGCCATATAGTGAAAACAACCATGTTCCTATAAATAAATATAAATAAGTAGCTTTTGAAAATAGACTGATTAATTTTTCAAAGTTTCTAAAAAATGACATTTCAACTACGATTTAAAATTTTCCAAATTCAGTATAAGCAACTTACTTTGCTTAAAAACATACTAAACACTATGAAAATGAATTTTGACCTAACCTTCAGCTTTGCAATTTTTTTTTTTAAAAAAACTAAAATTACATTTGTGTTAAAAGAAAAAATATGAAAAAAATTATGTAGAGTAAAAAAAAAACATCTTTTTTTTATGTATGTAGCTAAAAAGTCAAAAAAGGTCAGCAAGACTTATTGTTGGACCATTGGCACGTGGTTACCATATGCTGGTCCATTCTAATTATAGACACAAGCAAAGCTATATTCTTTTGCATTCACGTTCGTTGGTTTGTAATATTTGCATGGTGTTAAACATTTCACGTGAAAAATATGCACATAATAATAACATTTATATATATTTATAGTTTAATTTCTGATGGAGAACATTAATTTAACTTAGAAAAAAAAGATTTGAAATACAGTTAAATTTTAATCGAAATTGTTGTAACGATATTAAATTTTAAAAAGGACCTTTTATCCTTGTACTGTTTAATTGTATATTTTTAATGTATATATGTATCTCGTGGACATAAAAAATATTACATAATTGTAAATAGTAATATATTCACGTGGGTACATATATACCTTTAAAATACACTATGAAATAGTGCAGGAGGTAAAAGGTCATTTATGATGCTTGGTATCATAATAATAATTTCAGCCAAAGTTAAAGTATTTTTCAGACCTTTTATCCTTTTAACTTATCACTACTCAATCTATACAATCACATTATTGAATGAAATCGACACGAAAATGAAGAATTTAACCTCTTATTATACTATACGAATATATGATTCTGTGTAAAAATTATCAATATCACATATAAAGATTTAACTATAAATAACTTGATTTCATATAATATATATATATATATATATATATATATATATATATATATATACTACC